TGGCAGCAGAAGCACGGACAGCAACAGCAACTGTAGTTCTAGCAGTGGGTGTATTAGCGTCAGGTGTAGCATGAGGAGGGACAGCAATAACGGCAGCAGCAGCTTGGGCAGCTGCAGTGTGTGTAGTGGCATAGGATGTAGGGCAGTGGGTGTGGCAGTGGTGGGTAAGGCAGCAGTGGGTGTGGCAGCAGCGGGTGGGGCAGGGGTGGGTGTGGTAGCAGTGTGTGTGTGGCATTTGAAGCACCGTGCTAATCAGGATAGGCGGCAACCCCCCTGTTGGGGGTGAGGCACAACAGGTGAGTGACGTAAGGGGTAGTGGTACAGCATGAGGATTGAAAGGATATTGCAGCTGGAAGGCGAAACAGCACGCAGTGGGCACATTGCCACATCGACCAAGTAGCCATGCACCATAATCTGAGCCTTTCTTGAATAGACCTAAATCTCCATAAAAACAACAAAGAAGGTCGTATCCCCCACTTGGATGCAACCCACATGACCGCATTCCACGTGGCTGCATCCCACCTGGACGCAAACCACCAGGGTGCATCACACTAGATACTTATCATACTAAGAGATGGTAAAAATTATTCAGCATGATTTTTTCATTGGGCATAACAAACTTGGTACGTTATTACTTGCCATTGACTCACTACTTATCATTAGACTTTGGCAAATGCATGAATAATTAGAAATACATTTCATTTTTTATGATTGATACTAGAATCGTTAAAGGGGAATGCATTGCAGGAGTCATCCCCCCCTTATCCATCGGCAGGTCCATGGACCTGCCACCTAGTCGCATTTTATCCATCTCAAAAGTCAAGTTGGCGCAACTGATTTCTCCAATGCTCCGGTCTAGATCTCAACAACTCTCAACCCTCCTAAACAACATTCTAGCTGCTCAACTTAGCCAAATGACTAGCAGATTAGTTTCCACAGTGTGCGGTCTCCTTCGGCGCGTCACAAGGAGCTCCGCAAGGCGTGGCTCTCCCCAGCGCAAAGAATATCACCTTTCAACTTTTGGACATGAACGCTCCTGTTGGTGCAACCCTATGGCTTGCACTCGGCTTGTCGTCCTTGTTTGTGCATGTGCATGCATGGCATGGAATGACTTGTGTGTCTATTTCATTGCTATCTAGCACTTGTGTGTGTGTTTGAATGGTGTATCACAATATGGTTTGTGTCGGTCAAGACATTAGCAAGGCTTCACAACTCGCATGTCAAGTCGTCATTTGCGTGTTGCATGTGTTTTCTATTTTGTCGAGTGTGAAGTGTCCATCCCGTCGCAGGTGTGTGCAGCAAGCCCTCATCAACTCAAGAAGAATTTATCTTGCAGAATCAAGACCAAGAGCTCAAGATTTCAAGCCCAAGGGAAGTGGATAAATATTAAAATAGTGAAAATAGTAATGCTACTTCCTGTAGTGTTACATTTCACTTGGTCTAGCCCCATGTTGAGTTTGTTTCGAGTCCCTTCGTGGTTGGGGACTCTGTGGTGGTGTACCACCAGCCTGGACCTCGTCTCTTGGGGCTTGTAGAGGCTGAGAACTATCTCAATCTCGATTCTTCTTGCTAAGGTTGTACTTCTAAAACTATAGTGGCTGCTATACCTCCTGCGAGTCAAACAGCCATAGCATCGTCAAATCTTCATGGAATTTCATGATTCAACTTGCTACTTATAGGCGACAGCAATGCTCTCCAGATCCAACTTATAGATCGCCGTTTGAGTCAGTGACCAGATCGTTATGAATATTTAAATCCGTCTGATGGATATCCGACTGTGATCTCTATCTCTCATTTTGGGCACATCTGAGCGTATTGTGATTATAACAAGTGGTATCAGAGCCCCTTGGAGCCATTTCGACCATGCAAAGATCTGGAGAAGGGGGTGGCAGAGGTGCTAGAGGCAGAGAAGATGCCCAAGTACAAGGCCAACACCAAGATCCACCCATTGCTCCCGTGCAACCTAGCCTTGGCCCCTCTAGGGATGAGCCTAGAGTGTTTGGCCTTGACAAGTTCAACGGTGACAACTTTGCTAAATGGTCCTTCAAGACGGAGAACATCTTTGACCACTATGATCTGCTGGAGGTGATGGAAGGAACAGAGAAGCGCCCCGAGAACGACCCGGAGAAGAGCCCGTGTGTGCGGAAGAGCGCACAAGGATATCTTCTACTTGGGCAAGCGTTGAAGAGCAACCAAATCCTTCACATCAAGCCTTTTCAGCATGAACCAGCAAAAGGACCAAAGGCATGGGCTCCTCTCAAGGGTGTACACGCTTCTGCAACAGCAGCAATGGCTGTGGTTTTGGAGCGGCAAATGACGGCACTTGGAGGACCAGCCAACTCAACCTTGGCCGGTTCGGCTCTCATGCTAGGCGATGATGCGGAAGATGAAAGCGAGGAGTGCGCTTTTGCCTTCTTCTCTCCGGTGGAGATGCCGAGGGAGCCTACAAATCCCAAGGAGGCTTGGGAGGGCCCCAATGGGAAGAGGTGAAGGCCTCAGACTAAGAAATGGGTAGCATCATAGAGAACGACACGTTTGACTTGGTGAACCTACCTCCAAGGCGTAAGGCGATTTCTTCCAAGTGGCTCTTCAAGCGCAAGACCGATGCCGACGGCAACATTGAGCACTACAAGAGCAGACCCATAGCCAAGGGGTACCAGCAGCAGGAGAAGAAGGACTACAATGAAGTATATGCCCCTGTGGTCAAGGGTACAACCCTTCGAACTCTCTTCGCCGCGGCGGCCATCAAATGATGGGTGGTGAAGCAAATGGACATTGTAACGGCCTTCCTCAACGGAGTTTTGGAGGAAGAGACCCTCATGGAGCAGCCAGAGTGGTACAATGATGGGAGTGGCAGAGTGTGGAAGCTGAAGAAAGCACTCTATGGCCTCAAGCAAGCCCCTAGGGAATGGTACATCAAGTTGCGGGAAGTCTTGGAGGCGATCGGCTTCACTCCCTCAACGGCCGATCAATCATTGTTCATGCTTGGCGAGGGGGGGCAGAGGAGCTTCATGGTGGTTTATGTGGATGACATCCTTATATTCTCACCCTCCTCTGACCTTGTGAAGGAGGTGATGTTGAAGCTCCAAGACAAGTTCAAGTGCAAGACCCTCGGTGACATCAACTACTACCTTGGGCTTCACATTGAGCGAGATGTGGAGAAGCGGTGGATGCGAGTGCATCAAAAGAAGTACTTGGAGGCCTTGGCTGCAAACTTTGGGAAGAGTGAAGGTCATGTGGCTACTCCTCTTCCCTCAGGGTTCAAGTGTGTGAAAGGACCGGTAGAGGAAAGTGTTGGTGAAGAGGAGAAGCGCCGTTTTCACTCCTTGGTGGGCAGCCTCTTGTATGCGGTCGTTCACACAAGGCCGGATGCAGCCATTGCTACCAGGCAGCTGGCTAGGGTTGTCCAATGCCCTAATGAAGAGCAGAGGGTAGCTGGAGAGAGAGTGGCCAAGTACCTTGGTCAAACAGCAACTGTTGGACTGCAATACTCCGCGGTGGCACAAAGGCGTCAAAAGGGTGTGGATGGAGTCGAACCCGGAAGGCTATTTCTCACCGCCTTCTTTGATGCATCTTAAGTATCAGAACCAGAGGATATGACAAGTGTGGGAGGATTCATCTGCTATGTTGGTCGAGGCCCAATAGCTTGGGAGAGCAAGAAGCAAGTGGACCAAACATTGAGCTCAATGGAGTCTGTGTTAGAAATAGAGCAAATTCCACTTGTGTATTTGTACTGTTATATCCTAGTTTAGGTTATGAATGATCTGGTGGGTTGGGGTGTACTCACATATCCCAACCTCACTCAATTGTGATCCCCCCAATCTCCAATTACCCAATTAGAGATTCCGGAGATCCCAATGAGGATTCCCTCCGATTCCCCCCTTCATCCATTCTCTCTCACCTTGCCATGTACTTATAGAGCCTTGGGCTCCTTACTTAATTAATCATTTCACCTCTATTTCTTACATGGTATCTGAGCGACCTATCCGCACATGCGGATCAAGGTCCTAATCTTAACGTGTCTGCGCTATGCGCACCTTCTCGTCGCGACATTTGTTTCGAGTCATCGGAATTTTGATGTGCTCCATTCTGCAGTCGCGCCTCTCATCGTCGACCGCCTTCGCGCTCGACTTCGTTGAATTTCTCATCTCTGAAGCTTTCACCCTTTTCATCGTTGATTTCCTCCTTGGTTCTCCTTGGTCGAATCTCAATTTCGACCATCTCTTAAAACTCGTTGTCGAGTTTCCCCTCAGACCCCGCCAGAATAGGCAAA